AAGAGGTACATGAGAGAATCGAAGAGGAGAAAAAAGAGACAGAGATGGAAGTAGGAAAACAGGAGACAGAGGTGGGGAGAGGTGAGGGTCAGACAGGAGGTGAACCTCTGGATGAAGGGTGCCAATCCTCTGAATCTCCAATAGACGGCGCCACAGAGCAGAGAGAGAGTGAAGAGAAGGTGGATGAAGAACAGAAAGGAAGTGAGATTGAGGTAGAGAAAAGAAAAGATGAGGAGGAGGCAGTCAAAGTAGGGGATCATGCAGAAAAAGAAGAAAAGAAAGAAAAAGAGAAGGAAGAGGAGGAGGTTCTCCAAAGCCCTCAGCCAATGGAATTGCAGCCAGAGAGAGCTTCTGAGCCGCCATTGGACAGTGTGTCTATGATCAGAGAACTTGTGACCGAGATCACTGAAGTGGAGACAATAATCAGCCCCTATCCCAACGGCAGCCATACACCCTGACAGACAGGTTACCATGACGACTGACTGTGGATCTTCCAGCCAGATGTACTTTATTAATAACTACTTAACAGTTTCTTTACCAGTTCTACTATTACTGCATCACGTTTTTGTACTACTACTAGTTAAGTTAGACATTTACATTCTGAATTTGACATTTTAAAAGTTACTACTTCCTTTTACTTCTGCCGTTAACATTTGCAGAAATGATCCAATAAAGAGTGAAACCAGTTGGTGCTAGGCAGCTGCCAGTGACTGAAACAATGCTGATGAGAGCACTGAGAGTGAATCATAACAAGAAAGTGGCCGTAAAGCCAAAACAATTAGCTCAAAGAGGCCAAAAAGCTCCGTAGAGCTGAGTGGACTGCAGAGCTTCTCCCATGATTTTCACACTATTCCACCAGTCAACGTTATTAGCCACTCAGTAAATTACCATTGTTCTTTTTTCTATCATTTGGCTGGTGCTAATTTTGTTCCCTGGTCAGCAGTTAGTGGAATAATGTAGCAATGTGCCAACAAAGGCAGGGAAGAAGGCAAGCTAGAAAACACTGGTGAAGGTTTTAAATTTGCAAATATTTTATGGACAATGTGGATTTTTAATGCTTTCATTTAAAAGAATTTACTGAAATCCTGATATGTCAAAAAATAATTTTGAAGGTCCAGTGTGTAACATTAAGGAGGATCTATTGACAGAAATTGAATATAATATGCATAGCTATGTTTTCATTACTGTTTTCATGTACAGAGTGAGCAGGTTGCCTTCCATGGAGTCTGCCATGTTTCTACAGTAGCCCAGAACGGAGATAGGGGTTTTCATGTTTTTCGGGAAAGGTAAAGCTAGGAAGGTGTAATCTGCAATTACATCACTAGATGCCACTAAACCCTACACACTGGACCTTTAATGCTGTAATTCATTTGAGGTGTCTGTATGACTTTTTACCTTGTGTAAATTGAAACTTGTGACTGAATTTTCTTGTTTTTTTAGTTGACATTTTTTAAATATTTCTAAATAAATTCAATGCCAACATCTACCTTAAGTGATGTCAGGTTAGTCTCAAAACACAAGAGACAAATGTATTTTATACATTTTAATAGAATATTGTCAATAAACCAGATCAAACGCGTTTGGCAGACCTACAAGGTGCATCTAATTCATTTTGGTGAGAACGGTGAATGTAAACAAAACTGCATTAGTACTAAAGAGCTCCACAGAGCCAGAATGTAATTGTGAACACAGTAAGATTCTAAAACAGTCATACAAAATGTGGGATTTTGTTTTTTTATTCAAGAACCTGAGGGTGAAAGACAGTGAGAGAGATGGAGCGAATCTATAGTTCAGTACTTGCTTCAGTTTACAGTGTCTTGTTAAGTAGCAATAAAAGCAAATATAAAAAACACAATAATGTACATAGATTAAGAATAACTTAAGATAAAAAAACATAACCATGCAGCAAAATTTAACTATATGTGCAAATATGCCTATAAGTGATACAGTATGTAGCTACCTGTCAGTGCCCTGCAAATACAGTATGTGGGACCCTCCTTTTCATATGTAGTTTAGTTAATGCCACAATGCATTTTTGTTTTAAGAGTAATAGTACTGCCCTAATTCACATCTATACATTCAGACATGGAGATGTTCTGTTGTCTAGAAATACCATGCTCAAGGGAACAGCATTTGTTCCCTTAACCAAGTTAGCACTGGTATTTAAACAGATGAGAATCTAGTCACAATCCTTGGTGCTTTGTTTTCTTGTTGTCGGTTATTGTACTAATCTTCTTGCAATAACCCTCCACAGCTCGAAGAATACACAGTAAACAATGATACAGTCATCACTGNNNNCACTGAAGACCATAAACAGAGAGGACACAACAAAAACATTCACCCCCCTGCACGGCTCAAGTCTCCTGATCTCACTGCTGCAGGGACATGCCAAAGAGCATTATGAGCAATGATGTAGTGCCTGATACACACACAGTGACGCTTCTCCAGAATGACCTCACTGCCCTCTCCTCAAACCTGCACACACAAACAAAAGCTCTCTCCTAATTGGTTAACTGGAGGTAACACACTGACTATGGATAAGTGTCTGATACTACCCCACTTCAAAAACCTGAAATATCCCTTTAAAGAAGTTGGTTTCTCTGATCTCCTGCAGTATAAACAAAGAATAACACTAGATGGTGTACAATAGACCCCAGTACTGTGTCGGACCACCTCTGGTCCTGCTACATGTGCTGGCTGTGACTTCCTGCAGGTAAAAGCTGGTGAGCGGATGCCCTGTTTCAATGCGCGCTGCATTCAGGTCATCCCGGTGTTGTTTAAGAGGACAGATACTGTGTTGGGGGTGAATGGTGGCAGGTCAATATCATTCATTGTATTCTTGACATACTGTACGTCCAGTTGGAAAGAGAGGGCCCACTTCTTCTGCAGTGACAGAGTTTCTAATTGTCTCATTGCTGAATAAATATAATACTGCTATGGTTCCATCAGTGACATATACAGAGCCATTGGCTTGCACAAGATGGCAACATTTCTCAGGCCACCTTCACACAGGCTTGCTTTTTTGGATCGCAGCAGTAAAATTGACTGTCCCCCTCAGTCCTAAGCCTGCTGGCTCACGGTCTTTCCAATTTGTGGTAATGCTTTTCTCATCAATGTGCAGCTGTTGATCACTGTTGCCTGGAAACAAGCTTGGTGCCTGTTTTGACGCGCATGGGGGAAAATGGAGAATAGCGGCAGAGATGTGGCCCAGAGGACCACCTGTGCAGTCTGCAGCACAAGTGAAAAACCAGCACCCCTTTTTCCGCTAACCTCGTAGGAAAAAACAGATCACTGGGCTTGAATGTTACTCTCTGCACATGTATCAAGGAGGATTAGCTATCTTGCAGCCAGGTTCAGCCTAGCCAGTGTGAAAGCACCCTAAGTTATAAGCACCAACAACAATGGGCCCATTTTACAGAGACACAGACAAGAGAAAGCAATGTACACTGTAGTGCATCTCAAACAGTGGAATGTAAGAACACAATTGATTAAACAAATATTCATTATCACGTTGGAAAAGAACATGCAAAAACTCAACAAGTCTGTTCACATTCTTCTTTGATTTGCCAACCCACTGGGAACTCACTATAAGAAGCCAGTGTAAGGAAGACTTAACTACTCATGTGTTTAACTTAATGGTGAATGAATAGATGGGTAATGACTGCATGGAACTGCAGTTTATTAAATAACTAGTTGAAAAACTGCAGTGGTAGTGGGTCAGTCCTTATTAGTATGATGTCTTTCAGCCTTTATGATCATTGTCTTAGTAACTATACCAATGTGATGCCCTCAGTCATGAGCGATTCTAACAGTGAAAACAGTGGACATGCAGGACACGAATGGGGAATAGATCTAAGATGAGAGGACGTCCTGAAGTGTTGTGCGTGTCTATGAGTACTGATAGAAGGGCTGCTCATCAGGTCTGAAGCCATAGGCAGTTGCTGGTCGTCCCGGTGATGAGCTGGTCTGATCGAAGACATCGCTGCCATCTCTGGAAAACAAAGCCAGTCAAATTAACCCAGACAGTTAACTGACACGAGTTAGACAGGAAAAGAGATTTCTTCTGGATGCCTCAGAGCCCTCATGTGTTTGCAAGCAGGAGAGGAGGCACACGAATTTATGTGTAAAAAGTAAAAAAAAAACAGAGTTTCATCCTCAAAGAAGCCAAATTCAACTTGTTTGACCACCTTTCTTTAGTTAAACTGCCATCTTCCTCCCAACAGTGTGTGGCTGGTAGAGTTTTCACCTTGTGTGTGTGTCATCATGGTAAAATGTGGTCCTGGAAGCACCTACTGTGATGGAAACTAGGGCTGCACGATTATGGCCAAAATGATAATCATGATTATTCCACACTTTGCACTTCCTGTGACTAACTTACTTCAAAATAAAGGTCAACTCATGTTTTGTCAGTTAAATGCTTTTAATATGCTGCATTTTGTCCGGGAATAAAATCAACCAGGCTGCAGCTGCAGGGTGTGTGCACAGCGACATTACAGCTTCTCAAAAGTTAAGAAAGCGCTTGACTTTAATATACAGTAGAGCACAAATTTTAATTGTCAATATTGTAGACGACCAGATTTAATTCAATTAATATTCTATGAATTGTGTAAGCTCCCTATGGTTTCTCGGTTTGATTGATTTGAGCATCAGTTGACTACAATACAGGCATTTTAAGAGTTTGTGATTGTGCTTCCAATGTTTCTGCAGTATGTTGACAAACTCACCCTGTATGGTGCAAGTCTCCATTCTGAGGCTGTAGGTCACTGAAGAAATCTGGGCTGACTGAACCGTCTGCTGGAGTTATTCCATCTAAAACACATACAAAGGAGGATAAAATACACACATATAGATACGCACACAAACACACACACAAATAGTGCTTGCACTTTTCGCAAATGCTACTACAGTATTTTAAACGGTAAGTAATACAGTCATTTCCTAATCCCTCACTGAGTACTGCACTACATCAACGTTGCAGCTCTAATTTCAGTGGACTAAGAATAAAGTCAATCGACACTGACACCAAAAGCTTTAGTGTTGGTGCATAAATGAATCAATAAATAACAATGTGTGTTTCCTTCCTGTATACTTCTCATGTGGTCTACTTGTAAACTATTACTGTCCACTGAGCGTGTGCTAGTGTTTGTGGTATGTCTGATATTAGTAAGCCTGGTGAAGAGTCAGAGGCTGCCTGCTGCTGAAAAGGCAGCTGCTTCTGAGGACCTCGACAACAATGGAGGAAGAGAGTGGAAGGGATGAAATTAGCTCTTTACTAACTTTACTAAAACAGGTACAATGATCTGTAGCTAATATCACTATAAGCTTGACTAAAATTCTTAAAAAGGCAAAGCTTGATCATTCAGAATCCAGTACAAGATAAAATGAGCAGCATGTCACTTTGTGTGGTTCTACATGCATGGACCAGTGTTTTGTGTTGGTGTACCTGCACTATAGAACAGATCAGTCCTGTCGTTGTCGTTATCATAGAGATACGGTTCAGACTCATCAGCTTGGCGACTCTCGACCATCTCCAACCATTGGTTGTTATGGAAACGGAACTTCTCTGACTGAATCTTCCTCCCCCACTCCTCATCGTACTCCTGGATGATGAAGAAAAGGGTAAATAAATTAGAACAGCCTACAGACAAAGACAGGTGTGCTTCTATTTCTTCTTAAAGACTGTCCTGATGCATTACTCCTGTCACTAAGCATTGCTACTCTGGGCATGCGTTAGCACAGTGTGTGTTTCACTTACAGCAATAATATCCAGGGTGTTGTCACACACTTTTCTGATCTCAGCATTCTTGTCATGCATCAGATCTATAAGGTAGGCTGGAGCCTCTGGAGAGAAGGTTAAAGAAAGAAATTCTTCCAAGTTTCACCTCAACTTCAGGGGGTGTGAACCCAACTAAAAGACTCACAATCATCTTTAAAATTCCACTCAAAACACATTTTAAAGGTTGTAAAAATACTCTGTGGTTAATACTGCTATGGTTAACATTTTGTTTAACATGTTTTTTTCTAAAATAAAAAGATCTATGAATGCCCCGCCCACCACCACTGCTGCTTTCTAGGTTGATTGGTAAAAGAACAGCATCCATCAAGATGGCCAGCATTAGATTCAGCCATAGCCGACAGGTTTGAGCCTCAGTCAGAGCCAGACTCAGATGAGGAGTCTGCACTAAATCAGCGACTACCAGACGTATCAGAATGGTGTAGTCAGGCTCTTTATTTGTACATGTTTGTTAGCTTGTAACTGGCAGTGATGTTGGAGTGTGTTCACATTGTCATTACGTAGTAGCTCCAGGGTCCGGTTTACATCCAAAAACTGCACACTCTACCTTGTTTGCTATCAAACCTTTCACTAACTCTCGCTCGCTAGTGACAAACCCTGCACAGATACAAGTCAGTAAAGTCAATATCTGACATTTTAGAATTAACATAAGATACACTTTTTTGAGCGGATGGGATCTTTAAACATTAGACAGACTGAGTGCACAGTGGGAAGGATACGGGTGTCTTTGATGATGACGTCTCGTGTAGCTTGGTGAAACACCATCTGATAGAAGACGTAGACGATCTGACACACAAACTCATCATCCTCCTGTTGGGCTATATTCAACAAACAGAAGAACACATGGAAAGCAGGTTATAATACTGATCATTTCATAAGGTACGATATCCAAACAAAACAAAAGTAATTTTCATTTCAGGTCAGTGAAAAATAAATCCAACTGTGTTTTGGAGTTCATCTAAACCTCAAGACTTTTACACAAAAGAGCAGACAGACAACTGAAAATTCAAAATCTCAATGCATGTGTAAACATTTACTTATTGTGTACACCTTAAACAAAAAGCACAGGTGTGTGTTTTACCATTCAGTAGCTCGATAAGGGCAGGAATAATGCCGGATTTAGCCAACATGGCAGCGCAGGCGTCATCCATGGAAACCGTTCCGATCATTATCACCACCTCCAGGATGAGGTCATCCTCTGCTGAGCCTGAAACACAGTAAAGAGATGAACCTCACAGGATGAAACTTTATTAAGTGTTGGTTATATGGGCTGCTGTAGTAGAAAATAAGTTGCTGCAAAAGAAAGTATTATAAGTGATGAAACTTTTAAACAACACACAAAGTAAAGAACTGAGCACACTGAGCCAATTCAAGTAGTTTAGGCGGCCATATGCAGTCTGACTGATGTTGTATTTTAAAGCTGAAACAGATATTATAAAAAAAACACCAAAAGACTAAATTGAAAAAGAAATAAATAAAAATTCAATAATGATATGTCAGATATCTTTACAAACACAAACTGTGACATGAACAACATATTTGGCATTCATTCAGTTATACTATATGCTATGCTATAAATAAAACCATAAATAAAACAATAAACTTAAAGTAAAAATATACACAAACTGCAACCATATATGCTATATGCCCTAATATAAACATATATTTGCTAAATATGTGGCTTTATCATTTGGGCTCTAAAACATTATCATTAAGATATATTTCCTGGTTTCTGTCTAATCAGTACCTGGTTTAAGTCTGTCTTTGAGGTAAGGTACCAGGTTGTACTCCTTCAGAACCAACTCCCAGTCCAGGTCAGGGATGGTGAGGTTGGCTAGCGTCCCCAGACACTCGAGAACCCACACCTCCTCTTCTTCTGCACGGATCTCTGCTGCCAGGTCACCGACATAGTCCTGACAGAGACAGACAAGAGAGCATTGACATTATGGGCCATTGAAACCCTTCTGTAAAATAAAAGACTGGTTCTATTGCTAACAGTTCTACTACTAACAGCATTACTAATACCAATTTGGGCCAAGTTTACGGAGATCGTTGGAAAATGGCCCCAGATTAGACGCAAATCGCAGCGGTCCTGTGAGAACAATCGCTATGTGTGAACTGTTCAAAGACACAGCTCACAGGATCGCCGATGCCTCGCAGACACCCAAAAAATATCAGGCAGACTAAATATGTGTTCCTGTCAGAGATGACTTGAGGAGCCATGCCATTAGATACAGCCAATGAGAGCAGGCAAGGGCAGCCACTCTCACCGGCAGACAGGAAGCAGCGAACCAGTAGTTACGGTAGTAGTAGTTGGTGACAGCTGAAAAAACAGTGTTATGAGTTGTGTTCAATTTGGCACTTATTTTAATGAGAAATCTTAATTTCTGGAACGGCCGGCTGCTCATTCCCACAGTCTCCCACTGAGAGAGCACAGCTACAACGGAGACTGAGCCAGTTGAGGAGATAAATGTAAAGTACAGGATAAAGTTTGTTAATATGGATTATATTGATGCCGAACTGACAAGACGACTGTCAGCATGGCGCACATTAGCTTGTGTGTCGAGAGTTATGTGTTTTTATGGACACATTGGGAATTTTTGATTTTTAGTGTTTCTTAAAGGGAGTTTGGTGCAGTGAGCCTTTAGCTGAATTCAAACTGCATTCAAAGATTTATTACCACTACAGAAATACTAGATAGCTGCTCAACATGTACTGTGAATAGTTAGGCTATAAGTGGTTTAATAATGTGTTTATTTATTATAATAATGTGTTTATTTATTACTGTACCCAGTTTCAAACGGCAGTATGCTGTAAATGTTTGCCCTTTGTGCCTGTAAAACTTCTTTACTAATTAAACTTGATGTGCTTGTTATTAGTGGTGTTATTAATGACTCCTGATGAACTGTAGTTTGGAGACCAGTCTGAGGGATTACTCCTTGTGAAAGACCTGTTGCTGATCAGTCACATAGTGTGCAAATGACAACAACTTCAAGACTCCAGATAACAAGACAGAAAGTTGTGTGACCAAGGCTTAATACTAATAACAATACTTAGAGTGAATATTGTCATAGCTGTTTTGAGTTTTTGGGAGTAGTACTGTTTTCCACTCACTATGAACAGTGGTTTGGTTGGTCCGTCATGTTGTGAGATGTTTCTAATCATCTTCATCAGAAGGCAGTCTTTCATCTTTAGAGCTCTCTTCATGAGCATCTTTAACCCATTTCCTAGACAGAAAGATATAAACATTATTACCCAGTAAGCATAGTTTAATTAAATATACATAGATGACTGAAGTCACTATCAAGTAAAGAGACTTGTGGAAAAGGTGTCAGCACTCTGGGGGACTTTACAGAGACATTGAGCCATTATCTGGTTATATATAAATACCTTCACACATGAGTTGTGCATTCCTCTTGTTTGCAGCCAGGTTGATACAGATAGAGAGGATCTCAGCTTCGATTTCCTCCTCACTGTGCTCATACAGCATTTGCATTAGCTAGACACAATCACAATTTTACTTTTAGAACTATCAAAGTGAGTATACATGTTGAAGTGAACAATTCATACTGCTTGTGTTTGTTGTGGCTCTCAGTGTACCTGAGGTATGCAGTCAGTGTAAACAAACATGCCCTTGAAACGGTCGTCGATGCTGATATGATACAGGATACGCATGGCTACCTGACGGTTGTTCTCGTCACCTGCATGACATCAAACACACAAACAAAGAGCAGTGAAGATATTCTTATACTCTTCAGTGATAACACAAATCAACCTGCAGGAAACGTTGACAAATGTCACAGCCATCCATCTAATAAGAGCAATAGTCTAATGTATGTTTCAGTATGGACTGACATACAGTCGTCACCATCCATACAGCGCTGCTGCTAGCATGGCCAAAAATGAACACTATGAACACATAGAGGTAGTCACTCATCGAATGGCTACAGTGCTGTGAATAAAGCATCATTTACTGTACACGCAATATAGACAGTATACACTGTATGCTACTCTGTTAGTGTGTACTGTTACCCAACATGGCAGTCAGTTTAGGCAACAGTCCAACTTCCACCATCTTGGCTCTCAGTCCAGAGTCAAAGGAGAGGTTGAGTAGCAGACGCAGAGTCAGGTTCAACAGGTCCTCATGGTCACAGGGAACCAGACGAGCCAATCGTTCTACAGTATCCACCTCAGCCTGCAAATCACACAGACACAGATCAGATCCAGCTAATCACACTGAAAGTGTAACGGTACACTCAACTCACGGTTCCATACAATTCACAATGCTGGCTTCACAATACGATTTTTTAAAAGCAAAATTAGAATCAAGACAAATTATGACTGAAAATTATTCCTTTATTTTCTTTAACAAATAAAATAATAATTTACCTTTCCTGATGTATTTGCGGCTTAATACAAATACTGATGCGATTGACGTAGGATGCCAAACAAGCAAAGTCAAAGTAGATAGCACCATCTGCTGTAAAATCTATGAATTTTTTATCTCACTGATTTGAATCTTCACATTTTTGTATCACAATATACCTTTATGTACGTAGTCATTACAGCAGCAATCAACAGAATATATGAGAATGAGGACAAATATTGACGGTGAAGCAATAAATACAAGACAGACATATACAAATACATGTTCAACTGTTTACCATTTTCACTCATTAAAAGCCAAATTATATAATATATATATATATATATTAATAACTAAAACAGAATACACAAAATATAAAAACAAAATATAATAATAGAAAAAAACTGAGAATATATTAAATACAATAGAGACTAAATAATGCAGACAACCTGCTGCACTGATCACACAGCCATCCCACAGACATACTAGCTTTTACTATTGAATGTGGACATACGTGTGACAGATCTCAGGTTATCATTCCAGAGAACAGGACCAAGCAAAAAGGGCCTTCACCAGATCAGGATCTTATTCTCGGTACACCACTTGATGACCTGAATGCACGCCCCAGTTTCTCAGCATGAATTTGAGATATAAATCCTTTTAACTTTTTATACGTTTTTTCAAGCAATAAAAAGTTGTCCTGCTTGGGATACTGACCTAAATTTCAGAGTCCAAAATAGTCCTGACTTGCTCACTGTACTCCAGAGAAAGTGATACTCACTCTGGTATCTCAGGCTGGTGTTTATAAAGCTGTTAGAATGTTTTTGACATCCTGTAATTGATTGAGATTCTAAATTGAATAATTGATTCACTGTTTGTTAAATGATCAACAATTGATTCTCAAAACTGACCGTAGAGGCATTAATATAATTTTTTTCTGCATCTGTCATTTAAGGTTGATATAAGGAGGTAATTGTCTGTTACGTGAAATATGGCTAGATAAGTAAATCACCTAACTATAGACCCGTGGCTTGCAGTGACACTGTTCAAAAAAACTCTCTGTCTGTCCCTTCTTGTACCATTCATCTAGTCCAGCAGGATGAGTCCTTCCACTCACCATGTCATTCTTGTTCTCCAGAAAGATGGAAAGTTTTTTGAGGAATGAAACCACCAGGACCAGCAGCTCCTCATCATCCCGGTCCAGAACTTTGACCAGAAGCCCAACAATGTTTTTATTTCTCATCTTCAGCTCAGTTCTTGTGTCCTCAGCAAGGTTTAACAGGAGGTAAAGAGACACTGGGAGACATTGACAGAAAGAGAAGAAAATATGAGGAACTGAGTATAAGCACTTGTTATTTCTGGTAAAATCACTGAAGTCATTCTTTGCAGGGTTTCTGTGGGTTGGACAGATTCAAGATTCAAGATTAAGACCATTGTGAATGCAATTTAGGACCTTTCATGTCCATACTGGCAAAAAAGCACATGAAAGAAAATCAATATTGGTTCTATGTCAGTTTTATTTTGTAGTTGTTGCATGTTGTTTATACAAGTAACATTAACTTCATTAATCCAATCAGTTAGATCTGTCAAAATCATATATATGCAGAGACCCTTCTTTGGTTACAGTTAGAAAATACCAAACCTCAGAAATACCGATTCAAACTTTTAATTAAAATTGTGTTTTTTGTTTCATAAAGTCAATGAATAGGAGTGATGCCTTGGCTGAACATTACTACCAACTAATGCCACTTTCACGCTGGTGGAGAAGAAAGAAGACATACAAGGTATGGCGCTGTCATTTGACAAGTACAGTGATGTAGTTGTTGTCCAGGAAGAACTACAGGCTGTTCAGCTTGAAGAGAAATGGTCAGACTGCAGGAATTAATTTGCTTGGCAACGTTGTGTAACTTTGATTAGCACCCAGCAGCTACCTTAGCATTCTCAGTGGCATCTGAACCAGCGCACAATGCCGGCATGGCTCCCCAAGCAGGAGAACTTTTTTTCGATCAATATTGCTTCAATTGACTACATTTACCATCAACACTGATTGAATACCCACATAGAACGTGGCAAAACTGTCCCTTTAAATGATGCATCAACACTGCATTCACATCGGAGCAAAGACACCCTAGCTCTGGGGTTATTGCTATCGTATGACACAATAAAAAGAGTTCTTTGAGAGTTGAAAGGCCAGCCTACCTCTGAGCAGCTGTTCCTGTTTAGCCAGAAGACCTTGGTACTTCCTCAGAGCTTTGTCCTGGTCTCTTCTCAGCGAGCCATTCTCTGGGGCTGATTCACGTACACAGAAGAGTGTTAAGGAACACACAGAGTCAGGTAAATTATACAGGAGGGCAGAACAATAACAACTCAAACGGAAGAAGCAAATGCCAGCATTTGAAAGGATATAAGCCTTGTTTTTCTTGCGCAGCTCTTCGCGCCACACATCATGTCTCTTCAGCTCATGTTCCACCACGCTCATACACAATGCGCCTATTTTATAATGACTCACCACTCCGTGAAACTGGGAGAAACTGGAGGAGAGACGGACCATGTAAAATGATGAAGAAGAACAGTAAGGCATAGTAAAAGAGTGTGTGCCATTCTGTGTGTGTGTGTACCTGGAGAAGCAGAAGAAGATGTAGACGATGATGGTGGCCAGCTCCACGCTCTGTTTCCAGTCCTCCCTCAATACTCTGGCCAGAGCACCAAGAGCTGCCTCTACACACACAAACACACGCTGTATTCATGCGAGGTGACATGACACATGAGCCATGTGTAAAAACAGACATAGTTTGGCTTTAGACTTTCACTTGAGATTGTTGATGTTTTTATTATTTATGGCCATATTTATTTGTGTTTCAGCCAGCTGCAGCTTATTAAACACATCAAAGTACAGAAGAAACAATGAATGCTTGTTGATTCACTGATGAGGTAACATTAACTTTGTCTTTTTCAATGAAACTATTGTACATCTCTTCCATCATTAGATAGTAGTGGCTTTCACATACATTTTACCTGAATGTGGCACTAGATGAAAGGTCAATCTCTGCAACAATGTTCGGAATATGGTCACATTAACTAAATGATAACACAAGTAGACGATGCAACTGAATAGCTAGAGACAAAAAAACAATAGAGTTGACTTAAGAGTCAAACTTGTGTTGGTGCAACATGCTGCTAGTTTCTTTTAGAATTCAGGGTTACCACTTAAAAGTTATGGATGGAAAACATCTGAATAATTTCCATAACCTGGAATAACTGTGGGAAATAAACTACAATACAAAATAAAGAAAACTGGAGTGCACAATATGGTGTTTACTACTTCGTAGTTTAATTACTTATAGATAATCTGTTACATTGTACATGAGTAAACGCCTCCATCACTGACTTCCTGAAAGCTTTTCCATCTGCTGCTGTGATTACATTGAGTCTCTAACTAGAATAGAAACACTCAGGGATTAATATCATGTCTACCAGGGGTCTATACTAAAACATATTGTATTGCAATATTTTATTTATTTTCGTGTTTAAACTACCAACCGCTAAATAGCAGTGTTGTAAACATAAACTGAGGCTATGGTGTTGGGACTGTGATGAATACAAATACAGAACACACTTTTTAAAGCATATGCTGGTGTGTTCTGTAATTATATATATTTTTTTATATACCATGACAGTTGGTGGCCAGTTACTATTGCTGAAAAGAGCCGACAGAAACTCAACCCTCACCGAAAGAATACATGAGAGAAAAGATCCTAAACATACCTTTTGATTGATCATAAATGAGGGCAGAAATGTAACACGTTTAGCTAATGAGTGATTTAAGAATGTTAGGTACTTCTCCAAACATGAGAATTAGTATGAAGAATGAAACTATACCGTTGTGTAGCAGCTCCTCCAGGTTGTCAGGGTTGCGGGCAAGCTGCAGAATGAGAGAGGAGCCTCTGATCTTCTCTGGGATGCCTTCATAGAGCAGTTCTACATACTCGTCCACTCTGGTTATACTGGCTTCCTCATTTAACTACACAAACAGACAGAAACACAGACATGCTTACACACTGTTACTAACAATGAGCAGTGGCAAACTATTAAGGTCTTGGCACACCAAGTTCGTATTTTTCTTTTCTTTTTTTAAATCCATCATCTGATAAAAAGCCAGGCATAATTAAATGGAAATAAATAAATGAGAAATTAGAAATCCTAGATTATTGCATGGTACTGAGGCCTTAAATTTGGTGTTGGTGCAAATCAGGTTAGCGAAGAATGAAGAATCACAAATATAATGTCTCTCTCTGAGAACAGAGATCTAACTGAAATAGCTGAGAAGAAACAATATACATGAACTAACAAGCAGAGTCAGTCAGTGTTTTAAGCGGTTACCTCCATCCCTTCAAATGGTGTCAGCTCTCTGGGTTTCACAATTCTTTTCTCTTTCTTCTCCACTGGTGACACAAAAAGCCAACAATAAACACATTTATTTACATTAGAGTGCTGTATTTCCTTTGAAAGGTGAAATTTTGATTCATTTACTGTATGCTTTGTAATTTATTGTTATTTAGAATTTATCAATATATGTACAGGACCTACATGGCTAATCAATGTACTGGTAAACACAAACTTCTCATATCTGCCACCCCTCTGTTTGAAACTTTGCAGCCTGATGAATTTCAGAATTTTAGCACATTTCAGTGTTGAGCAATGTTTTTACCCTTCTATACTGTGATCTTTTGTGCGGACCACAGAAAGAATAGCATTGGGGCTGCACAATTAAGTGAAATATTGTCGAACTTGCAATGTGACCCAGTACAATATCCAAAATTGCAGAAGCTGCATTTTTTTTAGGTAGGTTAAGGTAAAATGTGACAAACAGATAATGAGGTACTGTAGTGCTGCAGAGATGCTCAGGCCTACAAACCCAACAAATGTCACATCATCATGATTTTAATAGTTTTTCACTAAACATTAAAATTGTGATGCAAAAATTATCATTCCAACTAATCATGGAATCATGTTGCAATATCTTTCAAAATAATTACAATATGATTTTTTTTTACCATATTGTACAGCCCTAAATAGCATTTAATAAGGCATCAGCTAATAGGGATCCCAGGGAGTAATAAAATAATTCAATGTTTCTGAAATCGAATTATGATGGTGAAAATGTGGATATGTTTAGAATCTACAGCAAAGGTGTAATAATGGTGACGTGACTGACTTTTGCCTTCCACAGGTGACGATTTCCTGTTCTGCAAGTAGTAGAGGAGCTGCTCCACCTGGGGCAAGCGGGACTGAGGGATGAGTTTACACTCATCCACCACTTTCTTAGCCAAAGCTACCACATCTGTACTAGGAGAAAGACTCTTCACACGGATACTGGAGGGAGACAGAGAGTACAGAGAAGGGTGATGGATAAGTTGATGGACCAATTTAAATAAGGATCAAAATAAATGAAAAGAGGTAGGGAACAGCAATGGAAATCTGGGGTGGGAAGATAATACAAAGAGAAAATCAACTACAACCATGAAAAACAGACTTGTATCACTCAATTTCACTTCAAACTGGACGTGGGAACAGAATGAGAGTTGTGTGTAGAAAATCAAAAGTACATTACATTTTTTGTCCCTCCTTGCGTTCGCCCAGCATATGGCCTCCGCTCTCACCCAGTATAGACGCTTCCACCTCATAGTGGACCACAAGGGCCTTCTCTGTGGGATGGACATCCAAACTGCCCGCAGTCACTTTGCTTTGGGTGATAATGAACAGTACAGATACATATTAAATAATCCTAAATTGGGGTTCAGTTTCAACTCAATAAATTCCACAACAAACGAGTGCAGTGAAGTAAATGTGTCCCTTATCAATCAAACATGTCTCCTTTTCAAATGGCCGAGATGTTTACATCATACCTCTTTCATAGAATTTTGATAATAACTAACTCATACTGACTTTAAATGTTGATAAAGAGAAAAAGGCAAATAATAGAAACAGAGATGTATATATAGCGTTTGTTTCTTATCTGTCATGCCGACAGCTGACAAGCTTTGAACTGTGTTTTACATCCACCAAAACAATATACAGAGACACGCCCAGACAGCGACATGGGCTACAAATAGCTGGCTAACAGGCTAACACGTTTCCATAAAGGGCTGCATTTAATAAAGATTAACTCATCTCACAGTGTAAACTTGAAGACCGTAAACAAATTCAACGTAGCTAGGCAGTTTATCGGCCACCGTTTCACAGTACTGTGGCTTGCTTACGCTAGCTATGTTAGCTGTAACCCAGATATCCCAGCACTCTGAACTGAGGGAATGTAATGCCAAACCCCGTTTAACAATATATCAGTTAAATGGCGTTGTGTGTCCCGGCGAAAATATAGGTCGGCTGGAAAATGAAAACAGTGTTTAATGGTATTTTATTTTCTAGTGATGGATTCGGCATTGTCAATATACACAGGTTGGGTCCTTCTACTGATTGACACAGATAAACTCCCTACTTTGCATTAGTCAGCGGTAGCTTCCACGAAGGGGCGGTTGTGAAGAGACATGATTGTGGAAGCAATCACACTGCTTGTGAAATGAGACATTTCCCCACCCAAATATGTCTTATTTGTGAATTACGAATTGATTGGTGGGTCATACTGTATTACAAAAGCTCTCCAGATATTTTACACTTGGTACTCGCCTTTTCCTGGCGAGCAAGCAAATATTTGCCCGTAGTTTTACTAATAATTCTTGAGATTCAATTGGTCCAAGCAATAGACCCGCACACACCAGTTACGATATACCGTCAATGGTTACGATGCATTTTCAATAACACGCCATACTTTAGTTAAACATCTAACGTTACAGCTGATGCCATATTTAAATTACATTCACGTACAAGAGTCATTGTAGTAAGGTTAGCTAGCTAACATTACTATTTCTCCAAAAAACAGATTGAACTAAGGTGACGTTACAATCACGTTAATGTTGTTCCGTCTTACCGTTTGAGGTAGCGCGCGTCATCCTGCATCTTCCACAAATGTATTTTTTCAGATTTAAATGAATTTAACAGCTTGGTCACATTTAATAAACCACCCAAATCACGACCATAGAAATCCGTGTGCTAATCGCTAGCGCCACTGTCATAACAGCAAGGCTGGACTACAAACATGGAGTTCTTCCCTACGTCCCTTTGATTTTCCCCTAAGTTTAGACTCTCAGGCAGCATATCTGCTAGTGCTGCGTACAAATACCGCCCCAGTTAAAAAGACTAGATTATAACCATAACCTCGGTTGATCACAACACTCAACCTTCTACATACCAACACCGTTTAAACTGTGCTGCCTGAGAGGGGGGGGGGGGGGCAGCTGTGAAACAGCCACTAATGAGTATTAAAAACTGATGTACATAAAGCTGTAT